GTTATGACGTCTTGGGATGGACTAAACCAATGTTGAATGAAGAATGATTTTCATACAACACGTAAAAAACAGGATCCAGCTTGTGCATACTTTGTTATACCAAAATAAAACAGCAGCGAGACGGGATAAATGTGTTTAAAAGCAGAGAGTATTGAGTTTATTCTACTTACGGGCTTCAATACACATGCTGTAGCTTTTTTTCGTGACTGCGATTAGTTTAATGTTCTTATCTATAACTGTTACTGTGCAAACCGCGGGGAGGTTTGTGGCGTTAAAGGGCACACGTATCCATACCACCCCCTTCCAGCTGCGCACACACACGGGTTCCCACATGACGACAGACGGGCCGGAAAAGGCAATTATCCAAACATCTACTATTGTTTCTCAAATACATTATATATAGTATATTGACAGTACTGTACTGATAGTAAGGCCATGTAGATTTGATTATATGTATGACATTTTCGGCCGTTTCCAAAAAAAAAAAGAAAGTTTTCAACGATACTGTAAATCGTACAAAACAGTTGCAAAATGAGCAAAAATATACCATAAGTTACAAAAAAATTAATAAAAACTATACCAATGTCGTAGAATGCCAAAATCAAACGAAAAAAAAAGAAATTGTAAAGAAATGAACTTGAAGACTAGATTATTCGCCAAACCATATTCTTTGCCATTTGCTCAACCCTCATGACCACGTAGATTTCATAATGAAAATAACTTTTTTTTTGCAAAACTTTTTTTTTTATTCGCACGCGCGCATCAGTTTTGGGGCTCCCGGAGGATGTCATCCATATAATCAAATCAACATGGCCTAATGTTTAACCAGAGAGAGAGGGAGAGAGAGAGAGATTTGCGTCTGAACGCAATGTGACTTCAATATGACTTCACCTGGTCATGGATTACGGGATGATATTTCTTTTTTTAGAAGCAATACCAAATTTTACATGGAAGCAACTTAACCCTACCTAGACGGGGGGGGGGGCTAAAAGTGCCCGCGCCAACTTTGATGTCACCTAGTGTCTGAACGGCTAGTGCTAGAAAGACCAAACTTGGTGACTTTTCCTTGAATATTGTTGCAAAACAATTCTCTTTCATTGGAATAAGATAATAATTTTTTGTGTTGCCATGGCAACGGGTTTCTGACAGGCATTTTTATACATTTAGTAATTTTTGTTTCAACAATAGAATTTTAGGGGTTTTACGTCAAGTTACACATGGTTTCTAATAGTAATAACATCCCATATAATTTTATGTAAATTTTATCATTAAATATGCATAATTTATGCTAATTTGATGACGTCATTGGCCAAAATCCAAGATGGCGGACCATATCATTTGAACAGGTATATACTATTTACATTAAAATTTCATCCATACTTCCATTTCTTTTTCCAAAAAAAGATTTAAATCAATGTCTTTAGTATGTTTACAATGTATTTTAGGCTTTATCATGAAAAAAAAATATTTTTGAAAATTCAAGATTGATGATCCAAGATGACGGATATCTTAAATATGCATGACGTCATTGTATGACGTCACCGGTGTTGCTATGGGCAACATAAGACTTAGTACACCCTAATACTCTGTCATAAACACTTTTGGTAAAGTTCTGTTGTAGACTATTTAGTATTTTTTTATTTAGTCCTACCAAGCCGAAAAAAGGCCGGTCTAGGTAGGGTTAGAGAGCAGTAATGGTCAGATAATGTGTCCGTTCTAGGACGAGCTTTACCACCTCTGGCGGGACCACGTCGGCATTCGGCCGAGATACGCTGGGAGGGGGGCACCAACAAGCATGTCGTTGACCCCTGACATTAATAACACGCTGCCTTGCGTGTTTTCATCAAACAACAATGGATGCAAACAACAATCAGAGAATCATGATCGGGCACGGTTTGAAAGGAATGTATGGCACGTGGACCAGATGTAAGGAATGCGAGTTACCCGAATCGCGGTCCGGGTGGTTTCATATGAACAATGCCTATATGGAAGCTCATACGCATCACCTTCTTCGATTTACTCATCAATACTGACCTGGTCCAAAATGAGACCACAAGAAGGCAAAAAAGACACCATCCTTCTGCAACACCCGCTTTCACCTGCACAGCCTGCGGGAAACTCTGCAGGAGTAAAGCTGGGCTGGCCGCACACGGACGAGCCCATCGACGTTGAGCAGAACGTCTGCTAAGACGAAAAGGAGAAGAAGAAGAACTGTCAAATACAAACTTATATGCAATTGTTACATCATGTGTGTATCACACACACACACACACACACACACACACACACACACACACACACACACACACACACACACACACACACGTCATCTAAAGCAATCTAAGCCAAGTATCTTTAAATTGGAGTTCCGAGCCTAGCACACTGCCACTACACCACACGACGACACAACGTCAAAATAATGCACATGATGCACACATACCCTTGTGTTGACGGAAACGGGACACTTGGAAATGCCTCAAAGTTGTGGTTTGGGGGTCACCTAGCTGAATAACGTTACTTATTTCAACACATGACTTCGTTTCTAGACCTAATTTAAACTAGAGGTTTCACCATCCCTGCTAGATCCCCCCCCTTTTTCGTCAACCTAAATTCCTAATATAACGATTCTTTATGTAATACTCGTATATACAATTTTTTTTGTTGCTGTGACCTGTACCTAACCCGTTGAATGAACGTGGGTATGTATGTGCAACAAAGGTTTTTGCCATTCATTCATTCATTCATTCATTCATTCATTCATTCATTCATTCCTTTCCTTTCCTTTCTTTATTCCTCCACGTTGGGAGAGCCATGGTCGTTAAAATACAGGGATACACACTTAAAAAATATTACAGTTTAAAAATAGTTTGTTTTTTTACACAGACACATGATTAAATATAAATAATGGATATCGTCTATTCTATGGCGATCTGTCCATTTCTATTTCGTCTTTCTTAGGCATTACAGTTCTTTACTATTCCTGAGTGTTTAACACTCGACCGCTCTCTTTCTCTAAGTCCTAAATGTAAACACATACTGTCCACTCCTCCACAGGTGTTTCACTCTGTAGCACTTCTCTCTCTGTCTCTTTCTGTCTCTTTATCTCTTGTAAACACACTGTCCACTCTTTCACAGGTGCTTCACTCTGTATCACTTCTGTTTTCTATCTCCTTCTGTCTCTGCATCTGTTGTAAACACTTTACACTCTTCCACAGGTGTTTCACTCCTCCACAGGTGTTTCACTCTGCATCACTTCTGTCTTCTGTCTCCTTCTGTCTCCGCATCTCTTGTAAACACACTGTACACTCCATCTTCAGTGCCATTCTACATGTTTCAGAGCCAGGATGGCCAAAGGGTACATAAGTCTGGCAATTGTTACAATATACTTTTCCCATACCCCGGGTTCAACATCCTCCTCCACAACTCTAGCTCCAAGAAGGACTTCTGTAAATCTTTCATCTGACTGTTGATGTACAGCTGCCATCACTCCAGTGCCCAGTTTATCTGTTAGCACGTCTGCTAGCGTTGCCCTGAGTGTGTTGAACTTGACGCAGTGAGATATCATATGCCCCACTATGTCTTGTGTCAGTGTGTCGCAAGCTGGGCAAGCTTTAGCACTGTGGCACGCAGGAACTGTACTCAGGTGCACCAACGCCTGTAGGGTTTTCTGGTGGTTGGGTAGTTTCCTTGCCAATGACCACAGTTTGTGAGGTTCAGTATTTGTTCCATGTATTCTGGTGAATCTGGTCTTGCCATTGTCTGACGCAATCCAGTTCCTCTCTTCTTTGTCCCTCACCGCCATTTTCACCACTCTTTTCCACACAGTGTTGGATGGGAACTCTGTTGTAAGCCAGTATTTTTCAAAATACTCTGTCAGGCCGTACTCTTGTGCTACTCTGTACACGTCACTGATGAACCCTCTGTTGACATGGCGTGCTCTTCTGATGATGTATGAATACAGTCTCAGAAGAAAGACTCTCTTGGCTAATGTGCTGCTTGGGAGGTTAGCCAGTCTGCCAAAGAAGCACAGCTTGTGTTTGTCTATCACTGCCTTCAAGGGGAGCATCCCCAAGGCACCCAGGCTCTCTCTGGTCCCTGTCTGTGGGTGCATACTCTGCATCCGTTTCACTCCGCTCCTGTGTACTCTTTCAAGTTTTGCCAGGTCTGTTTGGGTAGGAACCCACAGTTCACAGCCATGCAGCATGCTGGGTAGTGTAATTGTGTTGTACAGTACTTTTGTGACTAAGGGGTTTGGAGTGTGACCTTCATTCATTCATTCATTCATTCATTCATTCATTCATTCATTGTATGTATACTATTCAAACGTTACCTTCTTATGGCTCCAAGGGCGCTTTTTGGTACTGCAGCTGACCTTTCGAAGCAAAAAAAGCGCCCTTGAAGCAAATTGTGCAGCGGCAAAAAAACGCTCCTGCAGTTCCAACGCAAGCAGCTAGAGACACCAAATTTACGTCACCTCTTCCTTACTTTAACAGCTTTCCACCACATAAAAACCATGACTGTAGCATGTTTAAAACAGGTTATACAAAGCCCGGAAGGTCGGCTGCAGTACCAAAAAGCGCCACTAGGGGACGCCAAAAGTAAAATCAAGTGGCCCGCGTACTTTTTCAAAAGAGTGATGTCTCATGAGTATTTGTACCAAATTTGGTTCTTGTATCACAATTTGAAAGATTCCTCCAAAATTTGATGTTATCTGCTCCACTAATATGATGTTTGTAACATTTAACCGATTGTGAAGAAAGTTGCTGTATCAGATTTAAATATAATCTTTAGTGGAGCCCATGAAGCAAAATTTCCCTACATGCTTGAAATATAAATTACTGGTAGTATCACTATCAGAAGATATTAATATTTTAGAAGATATTCAGACCCATCTGATTGTAAAAAGATGTTATAGTTCTACCTAAGATAAGACGTACTTTGTTTTGTATTTTCAATTGTTAGTTGACCATGCGAAAGTTACTACGACTAAATAATAATCG